TATTTTTAGTGTTGGATTAATCCACTCAGCCAAATTAATAGTAATGTGGCAGCCATGTGATCATCCAGTATTTATGTGTAGATTAAACAATGATCTTTCTGGATAAACTTCATGCTGTTTCCAGTTCTAACACAGTATAGACACAGACAGCTGTTTAATTTGTCAGTAAGTATACTAAGTAACTAAAATTACTTATCATGAGACCAAATTTTTAGATAATACACTCTCTGTAGTTAAGAGGAAGCAAATAACAATTTAATTACTTTTCATTCTATACTAATTGCAATGTAAAAAAAAATAGCTGTATGTAGTTATAAAAGTATAACTATATCTGTAGTTATAAAATTAAAAGTTCCCATCCAGTCTTCCCCAAACAAATGAATTCCATCAAAAATACAGAGGCTCTTTTTACCTAGTGTTTCCCCAAAGGAGAGAACAAGCAGGATGCACACAGCAGATCCTTTTCAGCTGCTCACCAGAGTTCTTGGCTTGCTTTCTATTTTGTAGAAGTCCATTTCTAGCTGTTAGAGCTGTGACAAAAATGCAGCCATGTATGCCAGAGGCAGAAAGCATTTCCAGGGAATTTGAAATTATCATCTTGAACTAAAAGTGTACCAAGCATTCCAAGTAGAGCCAAGAATAACACTTTCAATATTGTTATGATTAAGAGTCTGATTATTTTTTTTAAATATGGAAGCAAGGGAAGTAAGTATATCCAAGAATGTTCACCAGTGTTCCCCAAGACAGGAGGAAGAGTCACAAAGGGCCAGCCAAGGATGTAGCAGAAGATGAATACATTAAGATATTGAAAACTTTAACAGGTTTGTGAGGCATTAAACTTTGTGTGGCATAAAACTTGTTCTACTTCTCATAAAGGGCAGCTCAGCTTTCAGAAGTTTGGGATATCCTCTATTAATCTTTGTCAAATCCACACCTACACTGAGAAATGTTGAGGCAAGCCTTTAAATCCTAAATATGCCTTAACATGTGCCAATCTTGTCTAGAATTTTGTGGTTTTCCCTAAAGCACAGAAAAAATTGAGCAGGAGATACCATAGCAGTTTTTAATGTTTTTTATTTTCATCTACTGATGTTTGAATTACACTGTGTGAACTGGTTATTCCTCATCTTATGCCAGTCATGTTGTCTACTGTAAAAATGTGACTATGCTGAAGTAAATAAAAATAGTATTAATGGCATATAATTCAGAACTGTTGGCAGTGTATCCACACATGCCTGAAGCTGTATACCTGGGGTTACTTATCTTCTGGTGAAACTTCTTGCTCTTGTGGATGCGTGGTTTCTGTTAGTACATCTTTAAACCAGAAAAAATAAGAGATGGTGTGAAGACACTGCCTTCTGGAACAAGCTTATTGAAGCTTTTTCAGGTTTAAATTTTGCCACCTCTTATGGACAACTTGACTAGGAGGCTTGGCTGAATGTTAATGCAGCTGTTCACTTCAGAATGATCCTGTCTCTGATTCTTTGTCACAATTGCTAAAGAACAGTATTTAATGGAAAGGAACCCCAAGCTGTGGACAGGCAGGTGGCCAGAGCCCATCCAGGCTTCCAGAGTCGTTCATGGGGTGGGGGGGGTCAAGGCAGGTGACTGCAGACTTTAAAGGGACTGTGAATGTCATGAGAGGACCTGGCTGTGGCAGTGTGAGCTGTCTCTGGGACAGGTTTTGGGGTAGGCTCCGGGATTAAGTACTTGGGGCCCTGAAGTCAGAGACACAGCAGAAACCATGGAGGGTATGAAACCACTGGCACACAAGCAGCTGTTATTCCTTGCATTCAGACCAAGGGCCACAGAGCCCTGCATGGTGGTACAGCCATGTACTGGGATACCGTAATCTGAAAAAATCCTGATTTTTAAGACACCTGTCTAAGAAACGGTGATGGTGACTGGTGATTTACTTGTACTCTGTTTAAATCGACAGTAGCCATGCAGCCCAGGGCAGCCTGAGCCCCTCTGGCCCTGGGGCGGTAGGGGTCTCCCCGCCTGCCGTAGCAGGCAGGGTCCCATGGAGGCAGCGGGGCTCTGGAGCCCCTTGCGCCTCAGCCCCGTGGCTGGAGCAGTTCAGGCTCCGGCTCTTTGCCTCCGGGCCGCCGTGCTGCCGACGGCGCTGCCGCTGCCTCCCTGGTGGGCCCAAGGGCTGCTCCGGCCCCCTCAGCCCCGCCGCTCGGGCCCGGCCCCTTGGTCTGCAGGCCAGAGCTCCACGCAGGGCCTGCTTCTCAGCGCCGCTCCCCTGGCCCGGCTGCGGCGCCGGGAGCAGCCCCCAGCCCCCCGGCGCCGCGCCTCCTCCCGCCCTGCAACTCATCTCTGCTGTCCCTTTGCTTTACACTAGGACGTAGCGGCAGCCCATTTCTCATGGAAATCGTGCTTTGTGTAACTGAATTGACACTTGGCCTTGATACCTGTATCTCCTGATAACTGAGACAAATTTCTAAAATAAATATTGTACTTTGATCTTCCAGCCCTGCATTTTTAATGACAGCTCTGAACATCACTTCATTAAGAATACATTTCAGGAGACTGAAATGCTCCGAGTTTGAACACTAATTATTTGTACAGAAAATTATGATTGCAACGTTTCATTTTTCAGCCCATTGGTTTCTTCCAGAAATGGGAATTTATTCTCGATTTTTAAGTAATGTACTTTCTTGGATGCAGATTTATGGCATTTGTAGTGTGGCAGCTGTATAGAAACTTATCCAGTTTTCCACTAACTCTTTTGCAACTTGACAAATCATTTTGGTTCGTCGAGCTATTTGGGGAAATACCGTACTTTAGAGAATGGAGGGAACCTCGGGGTGTTCAGTATCTCCTGACCTACCTATCCCCTCTCATTTCGTTTAGAAACATTGTTCTGAGTATTCATCTGGCAATTACTAAGTAAAACGAATTAACAAAAATCGAGGTAGGGGTTAAATCGGGCACCTCGCATATCTCTGGGTTTGACATAAGTTTGGGGATACAGAGGTTTAGGGACAACGCAAGCGCGAGCGCCGCCGTTCCGCTCGTCTAGCGAGTTCTTGCTCCTCCAGGAAGCAGAGGTGCGGGTCGGGCTCCCCACGTGGGGTTCCTCCTCGCCTCCGGCTGTCCAGCGACAGCTTAGACTCGAGGGGACAACAAGTGCGCTCCTGCCCCGATGCGGCTCTAGCGGCGCGGTGGAGCTTGGCACTGAGCGGGGGGCACCCGACGGCTGCGGGCGGGGTGCGCGGGGCAGTGCCCGTGTGCGTGTCCTCCGGCCGGGGCTCGCTGTGGCTCTCCGTTAGCCGCCATGTCCCGTGTTGACGCGGCGCAGTCTCCGGATCGCTCATCGGCGGTACTGGGTTCGTGTGTGGCGGATGGAGGTGCCGAACCCCGTGAGCCCCGCACTCGTGCAGGCGGATGGGGAGCTCTATCGCCCGCAACCTCACGCCCTGGCGGGAGCTGCTGCCGGGCCACGGCGTCCTGCAGCAGCAGCGAACCTTGCCTCGATACATTAGTGCGTGGTAAAAGCGCTGGATGCGGGACCCTTGTCTTCCTGTTGCCAACCTGGTGAAGTGGTTACCTGGCACATGGGAAGAGCTTGATACGGCTGCTGCGTAGTGTTACATGGGGTCGAGCTTTTATTTCTCCCCAGGACTCAATATGGAGCCGTGGGAGAGCACTTGGCACTTTAATCCCTTCAAAGAAACCGATCTAATTCAAGCCCTACAACTCTTGAAAGTCTTTGAGCGGACAGTGATTGTTTCCACAGGAAAGGCAGATAAAGATCTCTGTGTGCTGGCGTTTAAAGAGACTTCAGTGGCGGTGCGAATACAATTGAACCCAGCGACTGCGGGGAGGATCGAGTTACCTGTGCAAACAGCTCCGGAGGACCAGAGCCAGCCGGCATCTGCCCGAAAGGGTACCCTCACCTCCTCAAGACGGAGATGAACGTCCTGGTTTGGTACCTGGCCAAACAAGCCGGCGTTTGCGATGGCCTCGGAGCAGATGGGGAAGCGGGGAGGAGAGGAGCGCGTTTCCAGGGCCCCCGGCGGAGCGCGGAGCTGAGCGGGCCCGCGGAGAGGCGCGGGGCCCCGCCTGCCCCTTGCTGGGCGGCACATGCGAGGGGGCCCGCCAGCTCTGCAGCCCACTGAGCTCAGCAGCCCACGGTGGCGGCAAGCTGTGACCCAGATGTGCCTGGTGCTGGTTAGAGGGTCAGTAGCCTCACACATGGTCGAACGCAAGGCAGGTTAGATCCTTCATACACACATGCGTATAGAGATGTATAGACAGAGGCCGAAAGGTGCGGGATGAAGTAACAAAGCGCTTGGGGCCGGCTTTGTCTTTAGGGCAGGAGGTGAGAGAGCAGGGGAGGCAGAGACCCAGTAGCAGCGTTCGCTCCCGAGGAGCCACCCCGATCTCCACACTCCGCCGGCGCAAGACAGGCCGGCTCGGCAGGCCCGCCAAGAGAGACTCCGGTCTTCATTTAAAGAAATTGGGTCTCTTACACCCGGCTCCCGCTAAGGAAGAGGAAACTTTTCCCTTCTGTCTCCCGGCTGCCCGGTTTGTCGGTGTGTCTGTCTGAGAGACCGCTTGCTGCTGGTGGCAGCCCGCTGCTCCTCCCCGGGCCCGGCTGGGCGCCTGGCCTGGCCCCGCGCCAGGCGGGGGCTCCCGGTAACAAGGGGGCAATACCGGCTGAGCGAAGTGAAACAAATCCAGCTACCAGAGGAGAAAATGCGCGGTTATTTGCCGAGTCATATCGAGGGCATACCCCTCAGCCTCGGGGGAAGGGCGGGCGGAGGGAGGGAGCGGGGAGGAACCACCGACAATTACTCCAGGGAAGTTTTACGGCTGGGATCTACCAGCCCCGACCAGGTGAACTCGCTGTACTATGTTACCTTCAGTCTTTAAACACTATCAGAGGAATCCGGAGGCAGATTCCTCGAGCGATAACAAAGACGCGTTGTCACTTTAGGGCTCTGCCACAAATTTAATTGAAAAAAAAAAAAAAAAAAGAGGGGGGGATCCAGTGTCTTGCACATCCAACGCAAGGGTCTCTAGGCGGTAAGGGGTCCTTTGATCAAGAAAATCCAATTATTTGTGTATATACATTTCCCACATAGTGATTACTTCATTAATTGTCCCGCCTTTATCTCCTCCCTTCCCATCCCCCCTAATAATCAGTTCTTTTATCCAGACCAACAAACACACCATAGGAGCTTTGTGGATTCAAAGGATTTGCTTTCGCTTCTGAAAGAGCCGCTATTCTTTGATGATTGGGTAGCGGCAAACTTCAAAGCCATAAATCTTCCCTCTGACTGGTTGGCGGCCCGGCAAAGTCCTTATCAAATTCTTGGAGGTGATCCTGGCGCAGTCAGACAGTCCGCGGAGATCGCGCAGCGCGGGGGGGTGGGACGCGCACGGAGGCGAAGAGATCAGAAGGAAAGGGAGAGAGAGGGGGAGAGAGAAGGAAACTGGGCAGCTTCTCGTCTTCCCCTCGGCGTCCTCATGCCTCGGCAGTGCCCCGGCGCCTTCCCTTCGCCCCGGGCGCAGTAGCCATGGCCGCGGTGGCTGTCCTCCGGAACGACTCCCTCCAGGCTTTCCTCCAGGTCAGTACCCGCACCCGGTGTTCCTCGAACTGCGCCGCGTCCCACGGCTGTGACCCGCATTGCGCGGGGGCAGCTGGCGTCAGCCGCCTCCCTCCCGGGGCTTTTCCCGGCGGGCGGCCCGGAGAGGAAGGTGGGGACCCCCGCGGTGGTAGGAGGCCGGGCTCGGGCTTCTCGGGCTTGTGACTTCTGTCTCCCGCCAGCAGCCCGTTACTAACTCCAGGCAGTGCTCCGTGGCAAGGGGTGTGGGGGGCGCGGGGGCTGCCTCCCTGCCCACAGCGGCTGCTTCCCCGGCCCACGAGCGGCGGCGGGGCCGGCGGCACCGGCCGCGGGCGGGACCGGTCTCTGGGCGGAGCGGGGGGGCCGGGCACGTCCTGCCCTCTGGGTGCGCATTGTTTTCGGAAAGTTTACCGGCCGTGCGGGGAGCGGCGGGCCGGCCCCAGCCGCGCACGGGCAGTGGTGCGGGAAGTTTCTCGCAGGCCGGTGTCTGCGGGCGGCGAGTAACGCGCTCTCTTCCCTCCTTCCCTTCTCCCCTCCCTCCCGTTCCTGCGCAGGACCGCACCCCCAGCGCCTCCCCAGACTTGGCCAAGCACTCGCCCCTGGCTCTTCTGGCCGCTACTTGTAGCCGAATCGGGCAGCCGGGCGCAGCGCCCTCGGATTTCCTGCCGGTTTCCTACGACCCGACGCTGGGATCCCCCTCTAGGATCTTCCACCCGTGGAGCGGCGAGATGCCAGCGCACTCCCCGGGAGGGCTGCCGCCGCCGCATCCCAGCTTGGGGCTGACCCCTCAGAAGAACCACCTGCAACCCTCCTTCGGGGGTTCTCACGAACTGCCCCTCACCCCCCCGGCGGACCCCTCCTATCCCTACGAGTTCTCCCCCGTCAAGATGCTGCCCTCCTCCATGGCCGCCCTGCCGTCCAGCTGCCCGCCCGCCTACGTCCCCTACGCCGCCCAGGCCGCCCTGCCGCCCGGGTACTCCAACCTGCTTCCGCCCGCCCAGCCCTGCCGGCAGCTGTCGCCCAACCCGCCGCCCGAGGACATCCCCTGGTGGAGCATCCAGCAGGCCAGCGCCCCGGGCGGCTGCGGCCACCGCTTCCCCGCAGCGGCGGCGCTGCCGCGGAGCCTGGTGCTGGGGCACTCGGACTTCGCTCAGTACCAGACGCAGATCGCCGCCCTGCTGCAGACCAAGTCTCCCCTGGCGGCAACGGCCAGGAGGTGCCGCCGCTGCCGCTGCCCCAACTGCCAGTCGGCCGCGGGCAGCGCCCCCGAGGCGGAGCCGGGCAAGAAGAAGCAGCATATCTGCCACATCCCCGGCTGCGGCAAGGTGTACGGCAAGACCTCGCACCTGAAGGCGCACCTGCGCTGGCACACGGGCGAGCGGCCCTTCGTCTGCAACTGGCTCTTCTGCGGGAAGAGCTTCACCCGCTCCGACGAGCTGCAGCGGCACCTGCGGACTCACACGGGCGAGAAGCGCTTCGTCTGCCCCGAGTGCGGGAAGCGCTTCATGCGCAGCGACCACCTGGCCAAGCACGTCAAGACCCACCAGAACAAGAAGCTGAAGGCGGCGGCGGACGGCGTCAAGCGGGAGGACAGCCGCGACCTGTGACCGCCGGGACAGCCGGCGGCTGCTGCCTCTGCGGGCCGAGCCGAGCCGCGGCGGGACCCGGGCGGGGGGCGTTTCTCCGCCGGGGGCAGGGCGGTGGGGAGAGAGCGGCAGGTTCTCGGACTCTCGCCGGGCACGGCGAGCAGTACCCCGGCTGGGAGAGGCCTCCGCGGACCCTCAGGCCCGGGACTGGACGCTCATAGGGCCCCGGGGCCGTCCGGGGGCAGGCGCCCGGCCCGGCCTGGAGCGCGGCTGAATGGGGGGCCCGGGCGCTGGGGCACGAGCGGGGCCGGCCCGGTCCGGCCGCGGGGATCGAGGCTTATAGACACCTGGGGGTGAGGTGGCAGCGCCGCTGTGGCCGTGCTGGGGCTCGGCCTTCGTGCTTTCAGGGTAACAGACTGAAGTTTTGTGTACAGGTTATTTAATAGTTACGTTTGAATACATGTGTTCCCCCCCGTCTTCGACCCCGCGCGGGGTCTAGCATGAGATGTTTCTGTAAAGCGACCCGCGACCGCAGCGTGAAATAAACACGTTCACACCGGGGTCACAGGGACGGTGCGGCCGCGTCGGTCTCGTTTGATCGTTGCCGGGTGCCCCTTCCCGCCATTTCCCGCTGAGGCGGCGGGCCGGCTGCGGGCCCGGCTCCACCGCGGCGGCCGAGCGGAGCGCAGCCACGGGGACCTGAGAGCTGCTCATGGTAAACACCTTTAAATCCCTGGAGCTCCTTCGGACGGGTGTGCCTGGTAGCTCTGGTTGGTGGGTTGGGTTTGGGTTTAGGTTTTTTAAATTAGTTTTAATGTTTTGTTTCCCACACATGAAGGTGAGAGTAAAAAAAGAAATGCATGGTGCCAGTACTGGGGATGAACATACAGGTCAAGTTCTACAGAGCAGGATATACATTTGTGCAGAAGTGGGCAGCAGTCAGTGTTAGTGATAGCCCTTCTCAAAAAGGTCCAGGCCACAGGCCAGCCCCAAACAGCCAGTCCCAGCCTAAGCTCTCTGTGGCACAGCAGAGCTAACACACACTTCCCAAATGTTAACTTTCTGTAAAAGTGCAGAACTGAGGGGCTGAAATATGTTACCCTGCCAGTACAACAAAATGGCAATCACTGTGCTGCAAAGGGGAAGACCCTTGGCACTGGTTTAAAACCGTGTTTAGAAGTACCTAGTAGATAGTGACAGCCTTTAGGGTTTCTTGTCTCTCACTGGGCATCACGTAAGTATGGGCATATTTCTTTAAAAATAATAACTTTTCTTACTGCAGCGAGATCCATATTTATTTTTTTTAATTGAAATCTATGTAGCCAAACGAATTGAGGAACCTGATCAGTGATTTGCTAAATTTTGCATTCTAACATTGAGAATATTCCTTATTTACTCCTTATATTTTTACAACATCAGCTTTATTTTCTGATTACCTAATGAGACAATGAGATAAAAAGTGCCTTCAAAACTTCACCAGGACTAATCTGGAACTGTTCGGCTTCAGGTGAGATCCTCTGGTGGCAGTTGTCAAGGAAGCTTTGGCACAACTATGTTTTTAGAGATACACTCTGCCATGGACTTCTGCATCAAGAAAAAAACACAGCTCGCTAAGTATTTGTAATGACAGGACATGTAAAATGAACGTGTTTATATGTATGCCAAATACCACCAAGAATCTCTTCTCCTGGGGAATAATGAGATGAGATAATACCACGAGAACACTTGTATCTGAAGTAATGAGAAGTTAAAGGACAGTTACCAGTTACAGTTAACAGGTCGTTAACAATATTTTAATATTTATTATTCTGAATTAATTTCCCACACCATATTCTTATGGTCAACTTACTGAATTAATAACCAAGCAGCTGTCTTCTTTTCCACTGAAGAATCTTGTATAAACTGTCATAGAAAACATTCGAGAGGAATATGTTTAGTTTCACCAGTTAGCATTCCTTTGATTCAGGTGTCAAAAGCGTGTGGTTGAGGGATACTGGGCAGAAGATGTCTTTAGTGTGCCAGATGGAGTGACAGCAAGGCAAGAAATAAACAATGGACCTGATCCAAAAGTCCTTAGTAAAAAAAGTCTTTGAGACAAAAGTGCATCCTCTTTACTACTGATGTAGGATTGAAATATTTCATCAGGAATTACAGTGTTTCTGTAATTTTAAAATGTGTTTATGCAAGTGTTTCATTTTAAAATGTTTAATGGCACACAGTGGCAATCTGGTTCCTTTTTTTGATATTAAGTTACATTAAGAACGTAGAGTTAGAGAATTTCAGATTGCTTTAAAAGAGAGTTTGTTTCATTAAATAGTCTTTCAATTCTCTGTATGGATCAAAACTACTTAAAATGGAGAGTAGTGGAAAGTGCTTTAGTTGGTAGCAGTACAGGAGAAACAGCAGTATCCCAGAGTAGGAGAGGTCTCTTACAGGATAGAATAATTCCCACATGGCGAGGGCCTTTCCTGCTGAGGGAGTGCCAGGATGAAGAGGAAGTGTTCAGTGAGCTGAAGCAATGCCTTAGATGCTTTCTGGGGCAAGTCTAGCCTAAGAGCCAGAGACCCATTTCTCTTAGAGCAGATGTAACCAGCACAAATTAGCCTGATAATGGCAGATGTGGTGATTTCCAAGCTAGACCTTTATGGAAAGATTTTGCTCCAGTTTGAAGACGTGCTGAATTTGCCAAGCATCTATGTTGTCTATTCTAGCAGACTATTTTAGGTTGTTATTCATTCCACAAGACACAGCTTGTACTGAAATACAGAAAGTTTTGCCACTCACTTAAGTATGAGCCTGCAAATAATCCAGGTTTGAAGCAAAAGACTGTAGCCCAGCGTTTCAAAGGGGTGGTGGTATCTGATTTACCAAAAAAAAAACCAAACCACCACAGTGGCGTTGTGTTGTAGGCTGTGCACCTTGTATATATGTGTAATGACTACATTAAAGCTTGAAAGTGCACAGGTTAAAATACAGTCAAAATTAGTTAAAAGCCTGTCATGAGAGAGAGATGTATTTAAGTGAAAACCCAGAGTATCAAATGCTAATGAAAATCTTAATCTCTAAGAATGGCACACACACACAAACAATTAGGGATTTAGGAGACTTATGCAAGTGAAACAGTTTATAATGTAAAAAATATTTAATAAAACTATTTCTTTGTAAAGCTTTTAAATAGTTCGTTGGGAAAAGGAAGTATACATGCATCATAGCTGTTTCATACTCATCTGTAAATAGCTAAATCATATGATAGCTTTTCAATTGAAATAATTAAACTTTTTTTAGTAATATGGTATTTAAATATACATGTGACCTTTCTGATATATAGGTAGAGCATTACAAAAATATATTGCTTGCATCTCAAGAATTTATTTCTAGTTGCCAAATTGCACTCCATAATAAAATTACCTTTTAATTTTGCATTCACAAAATACATTTTATACTTTTAGCTGTTTCCAATCAACTAGAACAGCTGTTCATTTTATAAAATTAAATTATTAATATTCTTCTTAATTATAAATTTTGAGTACATATGCTGCTCAAGGTCAATTCATTTCCTCATTTTAAAACTTAAATGTCATTGGTATAATAGACATATCCTATAAACCAATTCATCTGGTATTTAACTCAAATAAATTAACCTCAACAAAAAAATGGGATATAGTAAAAAAAAGTTGAGATTTGGTCTTTAAGCAGAGAACATTAAAAAAAGTCCATAACTAATCACCGTTGTTTTTCAGATAGTTTGGGGTTTTTTTAATATGTTCTTAATCAAATTATTTTTAGTCAAAGGTCATATAGAATAAGACTTTCACCTGGGAGAAGGTTGCAGGATTGCCCTTTTTGTCCCAGCTGACCAGATTTTCATTGCAATAATCCAACATGAAATTATGTTTCTTACCTCCTCAACTACTATTATAGAAAAAGAGAAAGTTTCAGGAAGTACATTTCCCAGTATTGCTTAAAAAAACTATCATAATGTAATTCTTCCTTCCATATTAAATTAAGGGTGTAATTTTTGAAAGAAATATTTAATCTTCATTTATTTGCAGATTTTGATTGCATTTTAAAGTAACTACAACTTAACTATCTCACTTGGTAAATTCACATATCTAGTAATAGTGCTGAATACTGAAGAAAGAGGGGATATAATATGTTGCTGTCTTGAAACTCTTAGATGAAAGATACCTTTTACTGTTCATTGATGTTCAGTGACTCAGGAGACCACTCAGAAGTTCATACATAGGTCAAGTTTGTGTCTCTGTGCAAGTAGTTGCACGATTACTGAGGCCCTTTTAAATGAGTCCTGTAATATTTCATGGATCTTGTCAGCCTATTCTCATACTGAGCAGTAAGAAACAAAAGCATAATGTCCAGCTTGTTGTCAGATTTTTTAGTTTTCAGTTTTCATAGAACCTTGTTTTTCCTCTGTTAGAGTTTTCAGAATTATTTCAAACTTTTTATGAGATTCTTGTGAATCCTGTGGTAAAGATGTGGGGTCTGCCACTCTGGCACATGATAGAATCAGCTCAAAGACCTATTAGATTTTCCTGCCAAACTTTTAAAAAAACTTCTTACCAAAGAGGATCCCTTAAATCTTCAAGACTACTGAACTTTCCTTCAAAGGATTGCCCAGCAGGTATCTTCAATAACTTTGTATTGCTCAAGCTACTGAGGAGCTGGAGCTGTGCAGCGCCCAGCAAGGCTCACCCTTGTCAGGTAAGTGTTAATGTGCAGCATAGAGAAGAAGGATCCAAGGCCCTAGGCTGATGGAAGGAATAGAAGTGCATGTAATCCAAAGGGTCTTTTAAGTAACTTTGTGGGTTTTATTCCCTGTTAATATTTACTCCAAACTGATTTGAAGTCATGTAGGTGTTTCAGTATGGATAATGAAAATCAGAGAAAGCAAACATGTATTTTGACCTTCTGACTGTGACAAGTCAGTAGGGGGTTATGGATAGTGAGATTTGGCATTTAGCCTGGAGGACATCAGTGCTGTTTTTCTTCTCATCATCTCTTAATATCTTTTGTGTTACACATTTACTTAAGGACACACCAAATCCCATCGTGTCCCTGACCCAGGCCTGGTGATTACATCATTGCTTAGCCATGTCAGCAGGAGCCGACCTGGGGCCGTGTACAAAGCCTGTGTGCTCCTGAGAAAGGTGATGGATGTGCACTCAAGGGCATGTAGGGACTTGTAGATACGTGGTAGGGCTCCATCTCCTCTTCAGGTGGCTGTGGGGTGCATCCTGTGCTGCAGTGTACTGAAGTTAGTGGCCAAGACCTGAAGAACTGGCAAGTTTGTACTGAGGTACAAACTGAGTTGCTCTTCACTGCAGCATTTAAGTGCACTTTTTAAAGGTGCAGAGGCCTTGTACAGAGTGTCTGTATAAATTCAGATTCTACAGTGCTCCTGTCTTGAAGCTCTTGGACAAAATACACCTTTCACTGTTCAGTGATATTCAATGAATTTAGTAGACCACTCAGAAGTTCATAAATAGGGGGAATTTCTATCTCTGTGCACATAGTTACCAAGTCACCAAGTTAAAGGAGCCTTGTACTAAGGCAGTTCATCTCAATCTGCCTTCCCTGGAGTATCTGCTGTCGCCATTAATGCCAGTAACGAGCAAGTAACTCACTTTAGACAGCATCCTAATTTGCCCTTCCTGTCAACCTGTGCTATCATAAAGTGCAATCTTCTTTACATTTTTAATTTTCTGTTGCTGCTGAACTATAGGCCTTTACCATGACAGTGACTGACACATTCTAAACTGAGTATATTACATCACCACAGCATTTAGTATGGAGGAATGATGAACCACAAGGGGGAAAATGAAAAATAAACCCACTGTTTTTTAGGATACTCATATTCAAAATGAAAAATAATACTCAAATGCCATAAACTGATATTTTTCACAACTTAAATGTGTCAGTTTGCAAATACCAAAGTCAATAGCTTTATCAGAAACAATAGTGTGTACCTATGTTTTTGCATTCGTAAAAGATAGTGTTGTCTGCAAAAACAATATATTCCTATTATCTGTAAGTTCCTGTTCTTACAACAGTACTGGCTGTTTAAACAATGTTCCAGTATTACCTTGTATACTACTAGAAAACATTTTTCATTTTCCTTTTTAACAGGAACCAGACATCACAGAGCACGCTTTCAAACAGGCTCTAATTATAAAGCAGGTTAAAAGAAATTTTATTAGCCAAAGCCCATCTCTTCACTTAGGGTCATATCCCACATGCTTTTTTCAGGATCAGATGGTGTGCCTGTGATCTCCACATGCAGATCTCTCATCTGTGTGGAAAGGAGATGTCAGTCACACTGCCACATTCACCCATATTTCAGACAGCTCGCCACAGGTCTAGAATCCACATGTGAAGAAGAGAAAGGAAAATGCACACTATTCACTCATTAAAGATTAGACAGGAAAGATAACACAGCCTGAGAATGTCAGGTGGTCTCAGCTATCATATGTTAATCCCAAAGGAGTGTGAAAACAGCTTAGTTTCTTCCCCTCACATCTAAATAATT